TGTAGGTCTGTGAACATTTTTGTCTATCTAAGTTACAAACGTATGGTAATGTGTATTTGTAATTGTGTGCGTGAGTCTGTTTAATTGGGGTTTTATCTTGACCCTTGTGCGGTCTGCTCGCGCAGCGGGGAGTCACAGAGTTCTAATTTACGGCTCGCTTCTTTACGAATGCATTATTTGTATTAGATAGATATGTTAAATTCTTTAAGAATGGATTCAAAGAAAGATGGCGATGTAATGTAATGTTTTAGGCGAGTGTTTATAGTTGGTAATAATGTTATTATTAAGTTATCAATGTATTTTCGTTTTAAAGAATTATGTTCTTTCTTAATTAGGGTGGCATTAGTGAGATCGAAGTTATGTCCAGCATCGTTTCGATGTAAAACGTGAGCGTTAGATCGATTCTCGAAACACAACTTTTGTTCGTAATTGCGGACTTTTAAATCACGTTGTCTCCTCCACATAAAACAAAATATGTATGACTCATTGTAAAAACTTTTTTACAATTTGCCATACATTTTTTCTTTCAAAATCGTTCTTGACACATAAAAAATTTATATATCGTTATCCAATACAGTGGAGTAATAGATAGCGGCTCGGATTGAGGAATCGGAGAGCCGAGTTCAAATTCCAGTTGGGAAAGGTATGAATCCTCTTCTTCTCCCCTTAAATAGCAGGACAGACCGGGTTTTATAGCCTTGGATGGCAACTGGTCTACCGCAAAAAGAAATGGCAACCTACTGCGGGAAAAAATCTGCCTCGTCAGTCATGTATCAAAAGATACATGATCACCTAAACATGTATCACGCATGGCACGTAACTGATCCCATATATATATATATATATATATATATATATATATATATATATATATATATATATATATATTAGGGAAAAAACTATGACAAAATGTAAAAAGTGTACGTTTGATGCATTTCGTTATTAAGGACTTAATCGGGCTAAGGTGATGTTTACGTTAATGCGATTACGCATGCACGCACCCGAGAATGGCAAAATTTCGTACATGCCGCGGAACAGTAAGCTAAGCCATTCTTTTTACGAGCCACTAAAGATGTGGACACGTGCACATACACACATACATACATACAAACATATATATATATATATATATATATATATATATATATATATATATGCACATATAAACGTTATTTTTAGTTGATACCCATATTTGAGTAGACGTTCCGTTTATTTTTTAAACAATATATATATATATATATATATATATATATATATAACCACTTTGTTGTATGGGATTGGTTAGCAATTTGTCTCATTGTCGATTCCTGATGTAGTGTGCCCGATTTTCACTGGATGCGCTACCCCACACTTGAGTAGAATACTAAGTTAAAATTATTAACGTCTCCCAAGCATTAATAAATTGTTTGTGAACGCGTCTAGCAGACAATTTCACTGTGTAGTGAGTTCGAGCCCCTATCTCTGCATCTTGCTCTTTTTTATTGATTTTTTTTTATGGCTTATCAACCTTTTGTGTGTTATTTAAAACCGAAACATATATTTGGATAGTACGAATTATTCTTTTTCTTTTGTTTTGCGATTGAATATTCTATTAACCATTTTTGTAGATAATAATTATTATTATTATGTTCTACTATTTAATCCATAGTTGGGGAGAATGCGTGAATTCATACCTTTAACAAGGATATTTGCACGTAAATGAATGTAACAAACCTCACAGGAATTCGAAACTCAGTTCTCCGATTTCTCATTCCAAACCGTCATCCATTACACTACCTGCACATCGAAACTTACAGCATCTAGTAATCCCAAACGGTTACTCATCTAGACACTGACCAGACTTGACGTTGTTTAACTTTGGAAATCGGTCGAGAGACGCTACTCTTGTACCAGACTAAAGTTAGCAAATATATAAAAAAAATTGAAAAATATTCCATCACATCTCCAATACAAACATATCCAGTTGTAAATGCAGTTATTTTATTGTAATTGTTTACAGATAGTCGCCTTATTAAAAAATAGTATATTCAAGTATAAATTAACAACTTTATCGTTTACCTGTTCAACCTAATAACTTATCCAAAAACAGATATTCTTGTTCTAATCAAGGTAAACAAATTTCACTTGGTTACCTCTTTATAAACATGTAGGAAGGCAAAAAGGCGATGATCTCCTTTTTAAACAGTAGAAATTGACTGATGTCTTAAGGGACCCTTGAGAAATGCGCAGCCGCTCGTTAGTGAGTCAATTGCTACTGAGACCACAAAGTGGATAGATACAATAATCAATTGTTCGGCTGATCACAGCGGACAGAATAATTCTCATGCGTCCTAAATAGGTTCATATGATATATCACCAGGACTGCACTGTGGCCCACTTGGAAATATTATTAGCCCTTTTTTACTCCTTCTCTTTGCATACTTTCTGTCTTTTTTGTGTTTTGATTTCTCTGTGTAGGACAATTTGTGATATATATATATATATATATATATATATGTGTGTGTGTGTGTCTGTGTGTGCATTGTATCTTAATATTACTTATATTTGTGTACTTCAGCGTTACATATAAAATGTTTTTCATGAATAACTCATTTTTTTGGAATTCCTTTCTTTGGGTTATTCTAGTATTTCTTTCAGTCGTGTTAAGGTTTTAGTATATCACGGATATACTAATGCCTATACTGGACCTTGGAGAGTAGAGAATAGCAACATATTTTCCCTCTATTTCTGAACACCCCATTAAACACAAATTACTCACTTCTAGCGTGAAAGGCACACTTGCTTTTACTTTTTGTATAGTAATTACTTTTAAAAAATTGGCCAAATAATGTAGTCATCAAATCCAGATCAAATAATGTCGTCATCAAATCCAGATCAAATAATGTCGTCATCAAATCCAGATCAAATAATGTCGTCATCAAATCCAGATCAAAGATAAAACATCTGTTATCCGATAGTGTTATTTGGTTTAAACATTTAAAAAAATGGCGGACTGTTTCTTTTGTTGTTTTCTGAAACCAATTCATAATTCTTTTTGGATTTGGTTTATTTTTTACCGACATTTTTTTTTCTCGCTTGTATAGTCTGATTGGTTGTAACATAAACATATGAAACATATGTCCGTACGTGTTGCATTTATTATCGCCTGAATTGGCAGCAAATAACAAGATTGCCGCGAGAGCTGATCACCAAAAGCTGCCATAATTTTCCCTCCTAATTTTGATACAAGTCCCTGTCTAAAGAAAAGGCACTCTCCATCTTTTCCTTTCGCTGCCTGTCGGTTATAAGCTTGAGTGCTATCAATTAATACCCGTAGGCCATGTTTGACTGTTTCCTGAACATTGTCTTCGCTTGTAAGAACTCTAATAACCACTTTAGTTTCTCGTCCGAACTAAAAAATAAAATTCTTAGCTCCGAAGCAAGTTATTCCGATCTGTGTCTTAAGGGGATGCCGCCTGGCCTAACAATGAAGACACTGTGTATTTTCTTTATTGCTGCTCGTGCCTGACAAACGAACGAACAAATGAGCTGGTTGGATTTATGAGGGCTAAGATATGTTACTCGAGTATAAATCCATGGCAACACAGCGACTGCCGCCGGTTCTCTTGCTTTGGGGCTGGCGCCGGTGGGATATACTTGACCGTAGGCCGAATTGACAGAATACGTTCATGAAGAGAGGGTTAAATGTGCCAAAGTTACTCGCTCATGTGGAAGAATGGAAAGAAGACTGAACAATCAAGTTCCGCCTGATATAGAAGCGAAGGTGGGGCGCATAACGATGCGGGCCAGGTGTTTGCTTTCTGGGATACGGGTCATTTGTCGATTTTAGCTCCACTCACTCATCTCTGCTTCCAAAAAGGCTTACACTGAACAAGAAGGTAAGAAGGTGGGCTATGATGATAAAAAGACGAACGCCAGTTCAAGAACTTGTTGCATTTTATGGTTAGAAAGAAAGCAAAGCGAAACAGCAGTTGACGTAATTTTAAATGGCCCCTTTTTGAACCCATTTATAGACTAAAACACTTGAAATGGTCTTAAACTCCGACTCATCGCAAAGAAAAAACATTAGAATACATAGCCAAGATAATACTGAGGCTATGTAGAACACAACGCTACTTACCTGGTGTCTATACGGCGGAGAAATTGAAATTAATATCATCTTAAACTCCGGGTGGGGGTGCGTCTCCCCAGGTTGTACCTCACTTTCCTGAGGTGGTCTGGAGTTATTAACAGGCGTCTGAGACGTCCCCAAAAAAAGGAAGTGCCGAGGGAGCTGGAACAGTTTTTGTACGACTTTCCAGAAATCCGACCATGTGCAACATTCTGTTGTGACGTAGGCGTGCGGATAAATACCTACTCTCAGCCACCAAATGAAAAAGTGGGGTAATGGTAAAAAATCAGAAAGTGAAATAAAGCATGACGAGCTTATTAAACGGGGTGATGGAAAAATAGAGAAAATTTAATAAATGGGAAGAGGTAATAAATAAGTTTTAGCAAGTCATGAAAAGATAAATCTTGTAAACTATAATAAGTCCTCGAAAAAAATAAAGCGAAATCTCCATCTTTAAATAAAAAAGAAAATGCTTTAACAAAATCGAAATATTTTTATGAAGTCTTGCCAACGTTGCAATTTATTTCTATTAATAGCTAATAAATAAATAATATATATCCAATAATGTTTCCAGTTTTGTACACGCAAATTCCCGTTCACTTATTTTGAATATTGCTACGTTTATTGAGTTTATAATTTAAATAAATCGAATATATAATAGATTTCACTAAAAAGAAAGCTTGCAGTGGAATGTTGATTTATTGAATTCATTGTCTACAATTTATCAACTCTTTGTAAGTTAAAGCTAAAAACTATTTTTAGATTGTATCTTTTGAGATATTAATGATTTAGTTATACAAGTCATACCATGTAAGTGAATATGCTGAAATCAGCTGGAATTCGAACACGGCTTTCCGATTAACAATTCAGAGCTATTACACCATCCAAGCTTACAGTAACCTGGTATTAGCCAAGCGGTCACACATCTAGGTACTGGCCAGACTCATCGTTGCTTAACTTCGGTGGTTGTGAGGGGACCGAGTGTTTCAACGTAATATGACCGTAAATACATTCAGTAAAGTGATTATGAATAGTAATTAATTAATAAGAAAATTGGGTCCTAATAGTCTCGAGGGTTGAAAAAAAAAAACAAATTAATATTCACAGGGCTACTTCAGTAAGTTTGATCCTCAGTAGGTGTCGTACACATATGGCCTTGTACCAGGCTAAGGTTAGTTAATTCTTATGCTTGCATGCTTTGCCATTGAGTAATGTTTAATAACTTATTGTCGCTGATCATTACTACTGTACTGAGTTTGAGTCTCACTAGGTATCTCATAATTTTGATTTATATTGCACAATGCAAGATAATTACATATAGATAATAATCAGAGCTATTTTGGCTTGAAGATATACTGCAATCGTTTTTAATAGTTTCATCCCAAGCAAGATGATAAAATTTACTAAGAAGAAAGAAAGAGAGGACAATAAAAGAACAGGGTTTAGGAAGACAGAAGATGATAATTGATGTTTAATTTAAATTTTTGGAAGTTGTAGTTGACAGGAAAGCAAGAAATTGGAAAAGAGTTCAACAAGCGAGAGAAGAAACTATTAGCATAGAAGTCACGGTTACATCGAGTAAATTTCAAAAGTGAAATTACGAGACAGAGCTGTAACACCCACTGGGCCAACCTGTGATTTATACTGCAACTATGCTCAGATAATATCAACATCAGAAAAATATATACTCTTCTGGATACGAATTTCTTTATTTTACATTTGAAACAAACATTCTTAGTTCCTTTGTCAGCGCAAAGAAGAAAATTTATTAAGCCCGACGCGAAAAACCAAATTGTCCCAGTAAAAAAAAAATATCATTAAATCTGCTGTCATTTAATACTTTGAAAAAGCACTTGTATCGGGCATCGAGTGAGTTGGTAATTTTTTTATCCAATTAATTTCAGTACAGCATTAGTGAAAAATTTAATTTCATAAGTGTGAATACAGACATCTTATGCTGTGATATAACGAAATACCATATAACTTGAGCACTTTAAGCGATTAATATAGAGTAATAGGTGTAATAAACCATAAAAGTGAATTATAATGGTTGCCGTGAACTAATGAAATGACATAATGGTGTATTGCGGTACCTTCAGGGGTTAATAATTTTGCCTTACCACCCAGGTGGGTCGAATGTTCTTGGCACACTGCTATCAATAAACAAACTTTAGAGATAGTCATGTGATTGTGACATTCCAGAGGACAATGCGACCTCAACCTTACAGAACTGTATGGCAACTACAAAGTTAAAAAAAATTCTGACTGATCTAAAGAAATTAAAAACGAAGATATTTAGTATGGATGAAACAGTTTTTTCAGACATGAACATAATGATGATAACACAAACACTGGATGTTAGAAATGAAATAGTACTTGGAAATAACTCTTCATAATGTTCGCAATTACTTTCTTCGGCATTTTAGTTGGCTGCAGACAAATGCCTTCTCTTTTGTTGAATGTGAATCATAGACACTCCCGTTGCAGTTCTGGCAATTTCTGAGAGGATTTTCTGTCAATATGACTCAATGAACATTTGTAACTGCGCTTTCAGACAGATTTCTTTGTTTTTATTTTACCACCCTCTCTTACTGGATGAGAAATTTCATTTCCACATGCACGTATTTTGTTCTGAATAGCAAGATGAACTCCATCTACATTTTGTGCTTTTGCAAGTGCGGCCGTACTAAGTAAAGCGCAAACTCTTGAACAAACAGCCCCCGTGCAATTGATAAACCATTTTTTTCCCAATTTTGGTAATGCATAAATGCAATATAAGTATTGATAACAGAAAGGTTGAGAGCATTCATGAAGTAAGCAAGAGCCCAACGCTTTGTTTTAAACTGCACTGAATAAGAGTGTGCAAGCTGATCGACTGTATCGACTCCTCCTTTGGTAATATTGTAGAACAGTATTATGTCAAGTTTCCCAGTAGCATCGTCCACCTTAGCATCATTATTCATTGTTGAAAGAAGCGTGACATATTTGCTTTTCTTTGGAATTCATGAAACTACTGTCACATTTTGATCAAATGTGAAGCGCCAACTGCCAACAGAAAGAGCTTTAGCATTAGTGAAGCCTCCTGGGATGCCTCGTTTGTTTTTTTTCTAACTGTTCCAACGTAGATCAACCTCTTCCGATAAAGTTCTTCAACAAGGCTAAAATCTGTAAAGTAATTATCAGTGGGAATATTTCTTCCGCTTCCATAAAATGGCTCAACTAATTGCTTAACTACTTTGGATGCCAGTCCAACTATACTTTTTCCATCAGCTCCTTTGCCTGTATATGATATTCTATCACAGATATATCCAGTGCTACAATCCACCAGGAGACAAAACCTTAATGCATATTTATCTGGCTTTGAAGGTAGATATTGATTGAATGGGCATCTCACTCTGAAGGGAATGAGCTGTTCATCGATGAACAAAAGCTCTGAAAGATTATAGTTCTTTTTGCACTATGAAATGAACAAATCTCATAATGTACGCAATGAAGCAAACTCATCACATTTCCTCCTCTCTTGTTGAGTATCTAAGTTATCAAAGCGAATGCACTGAGTATTTTCTTCAAACCAGCTTCTTGACATTGTCGCAGCAAAAACTGGCCTCGAAAGAGCTCCATCTTTCCATATCTCCCTAATGTTTTCGTGATTCCCTTTCCACACCCGGCAGCATATAAAGACTAACATATACGTGATGTTCTGTTACTGTAAGAGTTTGCCAGTCTGTTTTCTTGCATTTCCCGTACTTGTCTGTCCATTTTACAATTATTTCGATAATTTCAGAGTTCACAAAAACATCCAGATATGTTTGCTTTGTTTTCGCTGTTAATATGTGTTCTTGATTACCACTAAAAACATTTGCACCACGAGTTTTTGTTTTAAAGACACATATGGAACACGGGACCACTTTCTCCCAGATCGAGTTGAACAATCACTTTCAAGAACAGAGAGCTAAATCTACTCCATCCACAATGTCATCGTCTTCGTCATCTGATATCTCAGCAATATCATTAACATCATCAAGCTCATCATCATAAAAAAGAAAACAGTGTCTTCACTCCGTATATAAACTAAGATCCTTACTACAGGTAATATTCACATGGAAAAGTAAACAATTTGTTAGCTAACGCATAGATGCAAAATAACATCAGTGGTGTGGACATAATTACATATATTTCAATACCAATTTCGTAGTACGTTTTGGTTACTTGAAAAAAAGAAGTGGATAGATAATTTTTGAGGAATATCCAGAAAATGACCAAAAACTGTGCAATATGATAAAAATAGTTTACAATTCATTTGTTTTGGCTCCTCGGGGACCCAGGATCGGCACTTAAGGGTTAATAATTAAAATAACGAATATTTATTTAATGCAATATTGTCTTTTGCATATCTTTTCTATAAGTTTTTATATATACAAGAATACATTTTGCGTTTGCGAGAACTATAAACAAATCACAAAGCCAAATGCTGCAAAAATTTGGAATTTGGCTCCAGAAAGAAATATTTACGCATCGCCAGTCGTATGTCACGTGCTCAAAAGTAAGAAATCCTAAGAATTTATTCTTCACTGTTAAAAAGGAAAAGAAGATTTTTTTTTAAATATTGTTTACCATGAAGTCTGATAAAATTAAATTAAAGAAATGATTAAACCGCGAAGTAGTGTTTCTGTCAAAGTATTTATCCAAACAAATCAATTTATTCAAATTTCATCGATTGGTATGCGAAATTGAACGAAACGTAAATTTTGTAAATCTCGACAAAAATGTTAACGATAACTTCAGTAATACTAAATATTGTGAGGATTTCAACATGCTAACGCGTGTTGCCAAAAAAATCTGGTAATAAATAATGCATAATATGGTTTTGTTAGGCAGTCAAACACTTCCCTGTGTGTACGTAGTTCCCGTTAAATGCAATTCTGCGATTTTCCTGGGATTGCATCCGTAAACCGGAAAAAAATACACAGCTAACTTCAGTCACTATTTCGATATGTTAACGAAAGTCATACAGTCGAAACTCACTCTTGACTCATTTTGTTGACAGTAAAAAAAGGAAAATAATCTTTGCAACGTCGTAGGCCTATCGCTACTCTTTCCATGACAAATTCTCAGATGAGCTCCAATCTTTAGTTCCACCATTTTAGACCTTTACTGCTCGGACTCATCATGCTACGTTGAATCACACACAGTATTCCAACTGTAAGGAGGAAGTTCCATTCCTCTACATTGTGGAAGAGACGCTCACGTAAATGCTACCATGAAAGCTAAAATCTTAACTTCTTCAAGTAAAGATTTAATCATTATCTACCCTCTTTATCCTCATAATCTCCACCTCCTTCTACTTTCTCTCATATTCATATAACACACCTCATTCAGTGACCCTCTTACTTGAGTGATTCTTAAGCCTTTCAATGGATAAAATGTAATAAAAATGATTTTGTTTGAATTTCTTCAACGAGGCCTTGTTACAATCAAGACATTGATTTGTTTGGGCAACTTTCCTTGTCTTTGTAACAACGTTTCGGCTGATGTACACTGCGGCCTTCGCATTCCTACCAGATATGTTGCTATTTCTTAAACGTAATTTAGTTCTGTCACAAGACCACAAGTATCGGCACCTAATTAGGCTTGGATGCACTATGGAAAAAACTGTATCTAGCGGAAGGTACACAAGTAGATCAGTATCGGCTGGGTCACCGTGGAGAGGGGGTATGATGTTGAAAGACCTGGACCCCTAGGTGCTGTAAGCTTGGATTCTGCGGTTGGTGTAATGGATAAAGGATCGGGATGAGAAATCGGAGAGCCAAGTTTGAATTCTAGTTGGGTTCGTTATATTCACTTCTGTACAAATACCCTTGGAAAATGTACGAATCAACCTCTTTTACTCCCAGGTATGGGTTAAATAAAAAGACTTGTATCAGAAAATCATTATTATCTCTGAAAGTTTCGTACAGTCCAAAAAATATGTTTCGGATTTAAATAACCTCAGCACTATATTTGAG